GATCTACCGTACTCCTGATAATTGAATAACAAGAATCTGATACTGACCTGTGGTGTGCCATGATCCAGTGGACAGAAATGCCAAATAAGGAGGCATTCCCTGTAATAAAATGAAATGAAAATGGGAGGGAGGGTATGCCTGAATCCTGATCGTCATAGGCAAGTGAAACCCCCTGCCAGCTTTATATGCTTGGAAGGCAACGACTCCTCCCACAAATACAGGCTAATGAATTAGCCTTCCAACATATGTATGTATATATATAAAGCAAGACATCAGCAGACAGCATATATGTAGGGTATAAAGTGTCCTATGTTACAAACAAAAAATTTGCCTACATGTGACATCTCTTTCCAAATGAATGTCCTCTTTCTATCTTGTAATCATACCAGTAGAGTGAACTCAGGCAATGCTCCTCATAAATGTATGAAAACACTATGAAACACTCCCAACACCATTTAAAACTTCCATTTACTGAAGATTAAGATGAGATGAGCGTAAATGAGAGTTTTCACTTCCCCATAACTTTGTCTAAAATTCTGAGATTTCAGCAACATGTTGACGTTTTGACAAAATGCATTTGAATTGATAGGGAAGGCAAAATGAAAAGTGATTTTTGGTGGTTTTCAATGGTACAATGGACCTTTAATGGCTCCTGCTGGTTATGGAAGGTCCTTTTAGCCTCATTATTGCCTCATTATTGCACGTTTCACTGAAATAAAAAAAAAAAAGTGAATAATGAGCATAATGAGGGGCCCTTAGTCCTTCACTTGGAGAAGCTTTCAAGCACCATTGGTGAAACCTGAATAAATACAATCTGCTGTTGAGTGTACACCTGTATCAGTCACATTGATGTATATAAAAGGTATGTGTGAGGCATATAGATAACAATGATCTATAGATATAATTGTGATAACAAAGCTCTGTTCTGTTCTGTCAGAATCGAGAGGATTATCACCCCGCGTCTGGCACTCACGGAAGCCGAGTACCTGGCCTATCAGTGTGAGAAACACGTCTTGGTGATTCTGACAGACATGAGCTCCTATGCTGAAGCCCTGCGAGAGGTAACAAAGCCCCCAGCTACAGAGCCATTTTGTTTTTTCTTATTTTCAGGCCAAATCCACCCAAAATAGTTTTTCTCTCTCCATGCATTGATACTCTTGAAGATAAATACAAATCCAGACTCATGTAAAGCTCAAGGACACCAGAGGCAGGATCTCCTCACTGGAGATTAGTATCTATCACTTCTACTATGTTCTGCAGCCATATTAAAGCCCATCTACAAGTTATTAAGTTTACCCATTTAGTGCCCCCCCTCCAATCTGCATTGCTGGAATGCTCATTTGTCTAGGGGGGCAAGAAATAAGTACAAATGCTTACCTTATGTCTCGCTACCCCGGCAGCCCATGCTCTCCTACTCTGTACCATCCTCTGAAATGTGGATGGTCCCTCACTGTCCTCACGTACAATGCAGGACTGCTGGAAAGAAAAATAAGCAATGGGAACACAGGCAGCAATAAAAACACATCAGAGTTAGAACTCCAGTCAGTTCTCCTCTTTTTGCCATTTATGTCCTCCTTTGAGATGCACCTTCAGTTGCTGTCCTGGTGACAACATTTCCCATGAAGGGAAATGAGTGGAAATGTTCCCAACAAGGCCCCAGAAAGCAATGTTTATATTTGAGTTTAGCATTAAGTAGGTGAATGATTCAGTCGGGAGGAATTCACTTATTACGATCATGGCAGGTGGGCCCATTTATGAACACAGACTGGAAATTTTGGGTCGATCACGACTTATCAGTACGGTGGGTACATGTATCCTAATTGCATTGTTGGTGTTTGGTCTCGCAGGTATCAGCAGCCCGAGAAGAGGTGCCTGGCAGAAGAGGGTTCCCCGGGTACATGTACACAGATTTGGCCACCATCTATGAGAGAGCCGGCAGAGTGGAGGGCAGGAACGGCTCCATCACACAAATCCCCATCCTGACTATGCCCAATGATGGTGAGTTTCTGCGTCCTGACCAACCTTCCCTGCCAAACCATTTCTTACGGTCTGACTTTCCCTGCTCATTATAAGGATCTGATTACAAGTACAAACTAGGCGGGAACCAGCAGTTCCTGGCACCAAAGTCCGGACATGGTTCTTCTGGCGCATTAAATTTCGAATGCAAAATTTCAATTTTGTTAAAAATAGTAGCAGTTACATTATTATGGCCAATTTACCAGGGCCGGATTTACTCTCTCTGTTGCCCCAAGGCCAGGTTCCTGAATGCGCCCTACCCGCCAACCCCCCCTTTCCCCCGTGGAGAAAGGCAGACCTGCAGGCTGCATACAAGTGATCTCGGCAACATCGCCAAGATCACTTGTACTAAAAAAAAGGGGCCGGCTTTCCCGCTGTACATTTAGCCCTGCTTGCCCAAAGCAGAGCTAGATGTAGAAAACAACTACGCGCCTGGTGACCAGAACTGCATGTCCAGGGCATCGGGAGATAGGAATTCCATACCCCTGCTGCACCGAGGCCGGGCCTCGGTTGGCCTTGTGGGAGATCCGGCCCTGCATATCACTACAATATTTGGTGTGCTATTCCTTTCTGTAATGATAATAGGGTTAAGGGCTAGGTTTAGGTTAAGCAGCGCAGCGGAACGTCCAGCGTTTGTAAGACTTTATTATTCCATTACAAACTTCAAGAAGCCCCGCCTGGTACCTCCTTCTTTGATGCATTTCACCCAACACTGGGCATAATAGTAGTGAAAGCTAGATTGTAGACAAGCCCGGTGTTGGGTGAAATGTGTCAGTGAAGAATGTACCAGGCAGTGAATGTTCAGTAAATGTCAGATCCACTTTATAAATATTCCCCCAAGGGTGGAGGTTACGCTTTAATGGTTAGGTTTAAGTACGGTTTGGGTTATGTTTGGTGTAGAGGTAACCGTTAGGCTTACCTAAAATTATATCCTTTTGGGGGTTATGATATTCTTTTTGGGGGTTCAGTAAGTGTTGATATCAAAGGTAGGTTGGTTTTAAGCTTTCAGGATTCCAAAATTAATTTTTTTATTAAAACATTTAACAGCATTATTCTTTATTATTAGCATTATGATATTATTCATGCCAGATTTTCAAGTGTTTATCATGAATTCATTTATCTGACGCCTAAAATTCCTGCAGCAAAAAAATTCCATGCCTAATTTGTAACACACAAAACAACAATCCGATCCCATAATAGTCCCAATATCTTATTTATTGCTTTTTACCTTTTTGCAGATATCACTCACCCCATTCCTGACTTAACTGGGTTCATTACTGAAGGGCAGATCTACGTTGACAGACAGCTTCATAACAGACAGGTTGGTGTGCAATTCCCTCTCTAACATTCTCTATATCTGCGATCTGTATTTCATCTCCCTGGGAATGTTCTTTCACTGGGCGCTTGTTGCATCTTCACCGATCAGCCATAACATTACGACCACCGAGAGGTGTAGGGAATAACACTAGCTGGAAGTGGGGGGATATATTACAATGACACCTGGAAGTGGGGGGGATATATTACAATGACACCAGGAAGTGGGGGGGGATATACTGTATTACAATTGCAACCAAATAAACATTGTTTTATATCTTATATCTTTGTTTTCCCAAGATCTACCCACCAATCAATGTGCTCCCATCACTATCCCGTCTTATGAAGTCTGCCATTGGAGAAGGCATGACACGAAAAGATCACGGTGATGTTTCTAACCAATTGGTACGTTCATCCTTGGCTCAGGTGCCATATCTGCCAGACAACAGCAAAACAGTCTACATTGTGTACATAAAGGCAGAGAGAGAGTGTGAGACAGCCAGACAGGTTGGGGCAGGGAGTTCCAGGGGATGGGAGAGGCTCTGGAGATGTCATGAAGACGAGCATGGGAGGAGGTGACGAGGGAACTAGAGAGCAGGAGGTCTTGGATGGAGTGAAGAGGATGGTTTGGGGGATATTTTGAGATGAGGTTGGTGAAATAGCTCAGTGCACAGTTGTAGATGGCTTTGTATATTGACAGTATTTGGAATTTTATTTGTTGGGCAATTGAAAACCATCGGAGACTGCTCCCATGTGCTCCCATCACTATCCTGTCTTACAAAGTCATTGGTCAATGCGAAGCCAGTCAAGACTGCTCCCATCACTATCCTGTCTTATGAAGTAATTTGGGTGAGTGGAAGCCAGTGCAGACTACTTCCATTTGTTCCCATCGCTATCCCGTCTTATTAATATCATTGGTCCAAGTGAAAGCCAGACAAGACTGCTCCCATCACTATCCTGTCTTATGAAGTCATTGGGGCGAGTGGAAGCCAGTGGAGACTACTTCCATTTGTTCCCATCGCTATCCCGTCTTATTAATATCATTGGTCCAAGTGAAAGCCAGACAAGACTGCTCCCATCACTATCCTGTCTTATGAAGTCATTGAGCGAGTGGAAGCCAGTGGAGACTGATCCCTTGTACTCCCAACACTATCCTGTTTTATGAAGTCATTGGGTGAGTGGAAGCCAGTTTTGGGATTGGCAGGGAGGGGTGGCGGACACTGAGTGGCTATAGGTTGGTCTGCTCTACCTAAACTGATATTCATGTCATCTAGTAGTAGGAACGCCAACTCATACATGTGTCCAAGTGAGATGCCTCTTCAAAACTGTTCATTTTTCATAAAAATGCTACAAATCGGAGCGCTCCAATCTAGTGTCATTACATTTAAATATAATTTAGAATAATTTTGTCTTTGTTTCTTGGAACAGTATGCCTGTTATGCCATCGGGAAAGATGTCCAGGCCATGAAAGCTGTGGTGGGTGAAGAAGCTCTGTCTTCAGATGACCTCTTGTATCTGGAGTTCTTGCAGAAGTTTGAGAGACAGTTCATTGCTCAAGGTAAATGATCACTATTATTATTATTAATTGATGACATGTTCCCCAATGCATTATATATGAACACGGGGCAATTCATATTAGCCTCTGCACCACAGCAGCTTACTTTGTAATACACTTTTGTAGCAAATAAATCAAGGCAACTGGACTTGCTGTATTTTTCTAGCTAGACGGATGACCAGTCAGCCAGAAAAATACAACAAGTCCAGTTGCCTTGATTTATTTGCTACGGATATACCATGACCTGGATGAATGAGAACCTTGACAGACTGTTCTAAGAAGGCTTCACAATGCTAGACTATACTGATTCACCTGGAGGACCTTTTATTTCCTTCACCATAACCTTCACCATAACCTGTATGGTTGTATTGTCTCATTGGGTCTCAAGCCCTACTCCACAGAAGTGATGGTTCCCAAGCACTGATATGGTTGGAGGGCTTTTTGATTCCTTTAGTCCCTTCCCACCATAACCCGTATGGTTGTACTGTCCCATTGGGTTCTAAGCCCTACTCCATGGAAGTGATGGTATCCAAGCACTGATATGGTTAGAGAGCTTTTTGATTTCTTGAGTCCCTTCTCACCATAACCTATATGGTTGTACTGTCCCATTAGGTTCCAAACCCTACTCCATGGAAGTCATGGTTTCTGTACACTGCACTGATGATCAAAATACCTGAAACTTCTGTATGCAGTTGGGAATAAATAGTTCCATGATATTAGGCTATATTTTCACTATACACCAGCGGTTTGGCCAATGGAATGCAAAGCAATTATTTACATGGCTCCGCCCACTGTCCTAAAATTAGGATTAATCCTCTTATTTTTGGGATATGTAATGGAATGAGACATGTGAATACCTTCTGTCCCTTTACTGTGCTACACACTGATGTGGTTAAAAGGCTTTTTGATCCCTTCAGTCCCTTCTCACTATAACCGGTGTGGTTATTCTGTCTCAGTGAGCAGATTAATAAATTAAATCTGATTGGTTGATGAGCTTTTTCTCACACAAGTTAGTCAGATAATAATTCCTGCTCATGTTTTCTACCTCCAGGAGCGTATGAGAATCGGACCATCTTTGAGTCTCTGGACATTGGGTGGCAGCTGCTACGAATCTTCCCCAAGGAGCTTCTCAAGCGTATTCCAGAGGCCATGGTGGCTGAATTCTATCCGAGAGAATCACGAGCGCTGGCAGGGATGTCCAAACGCTAAATGCATGAATAAGACAGGAAACTGTCAGTGCAATGTCTTTAAAATAATATTTATTTTGAATGTTGATGTGAATGTACCTGTTTCACTAATAAAGTGTTACTCCCCTCAATAAAATGCATCGGCCTCATTGTCTGCGGCACAGAGGATTGTACAGGTGTTATCCAGTTTTATTAGAATTTTTGGAGGATTTGCTTGCCAGTGCTACATGTTCACCCCTTAGGTAAATACAATAGCATTGGGGGGCCTGGGGGGGGGGGGGGGGGTTTTAAAATGGGAAA